AGATTATTATGTATTTAATATTAAAATGGAAAAAGAAAATGTTAGAATTTGTGACGAATTTCTTGAAAAAGTTGTATCATTCATGTCTTATAATTTATTTGATAATCAAGATCCTCGAAATTTAATCAAAAGATGTCCAAATTGTAAGTTGATTTGGTTCAAAACGGAAGGTTGTGATGGAGTCACAACATGCGGCAATAAAATCTTTACCAATCATCAAGATGTGAAGAGCAAAGCTTTTTGGAAATATAATTTGCAACGAATCAATGGAAAACTTCAATTGGTCAAAAACAATATGGAAACAAAGACGCTGTTAAAAGCAATGCATATCAATTCAAATTCGAACCGAATAGGTTGTGGAATCGAGTTTAAATGGAGTGAACTTCCAAAAATAGAAGATCATTTAATTCTTCAGTTATTCACAGTAGAAACAATTGACCAAGCCAAACAATTAATTCAAGCTGGTAGTTATAGAGAACCTTGACTAAATTAGGAATATGCTATTAACTCCACTCTTGCTTTCAAAATATTTCATTATTTTCCTTATATTAAATGTACAAGATTATGTATATATACATATGCAAATTAGAGTAGCTCTTGGGGGTGGGTATGGGTGCGTGGGTGTGAGTGTGAGTGTGAATGTAGACATGCGTGAAGAGAAAACCAACACCCACACCCATTTTTTCTATATGGATAAAAACTGTTAATTTGAATTAGAATTATAATCGAGGTCGAAGAAAGGTTTTTCTTTTCTGTTGCTCCAGAATACAGTCCAAGACAATTGAAATTATGCGCTTTGTTTTTTTTTATTATACATTTTTTATCTCTTAATGTACTATGTGTAGAGTATATAATGGGGCATCTAATACCAATTAGAACTTAGAACAAAAAAAGGCACTCGATTTCAAATTGAAATGGGGGTATAGAGACGGGTCTTTAGAATTATTCATTTGAATAATTCTAAAGATCCTTTATACCCGCTATCACCTACCTCAAAGAAAGCAGATATACACCTATCTATTCATATGAATCATTCTACAGATTCCCGATATTCTCCTTTCGATTTGAAATCGAGCGTTTTTTGTTTTGGGTGTGGGTGTGGGAGGGTGTGGGTGAGTGTGGGTGGGTGTGGGTGTGGGAGGGTGTGGGAGGGTGTGGGTGAGTGTGGGTGGGTGTGGGTGTGGGGTGTTGGTGTGAGTGGGTGCGGATGTGGATGACTTCTCCAATGATATCTACACCCACACCCACACCCCACCCCACACCCCACCCCACACCCCACCCCACACCCACCCACACTCACACCCACACCCCACACCCACACCCACCCACACTCACACCCACACCCACCCACACTCACACCCACACCCCACACCCACACCCCACCCCACACCCACTCACACCCACACCCACACCCATCCACACTCACACCCACACCCTGTAATGGTGGGTGTCTGTAATGGTGGGTGTCTGTAATGGTGGGATGTCTGTATTGGGGAGAGGGGGGCTGTCTGTAATGGGGACCTGCGTTGCTATAGTCTGTAATGGTGGAGGCCTAGGGGGAGCCGCAAAACCTCGATTTAAAACTTACACTCACTATTTTTTTCGAAAATATATGTGAGTTCCACAAAGAGAGAAAAAAGAAAAATAAGTAAAACCTTTTTGTGTTCTACAAGCAACATAAGTGTCCTTCGACAAACAAACGACACGCCTCACATACATAAAATTCAACCAACTTAGAAGTCGTTGTTATTGGAATTTTCATAAAAAAAGAAATTTTTATTTTGATTATTGCATCTTGGTAAGTAACTTACGATCATGGCTCCTAAGCAGATCTTCGAGTTTTTAAAACGTGATACGTCTAACGGTTGTATGACTAGGATATTAATTACAAAGAATCGAGAAAAAAATTAAACGAATATTCATCACGGATTTCCGTTTATCTGATCAACTGATGATTTCGTCTTAGTCAGAAGTCTAACGAGTGTATATACCCGTATCCATTACAGTTTTATTGATTAAATCGTTCTTTTTTTTAGAACTTTGTCCACATATTAGATAATTAACTTTCTACGTTTGTGTCTCGTTCTATTAATGACCTTTTCGTAATTCGAAGTATTGAAATAATGCAACGGGTAATTTCATAAGATAAGGACTAAAGACGATGCTTTCGTGCTTAGAGAGTTTGCTTATAAAGAAGAATGAGTGGATCGTTAACAGCGAGTGAAACTTTTGGGTAAGGGTGTGGGTGTGCGGTACGGTCGAAAAAACAAGCTGCACTCGCTCAGCCATACCGACATCCATCCAAACCCACATCCATCCTCATGATGTGTGAACTAAAGGGTGTGGGTGTGGGTGTGTCGGTTTGGGTGCGAATGTGGGTGGGGTGTGGGTGGAGCATGGGTATGTGTGTAGCTTTTCTCTCTACTCATATCCACACCCATACCTACATTCATACCCAACCACAGCCGCAGCCACACACTCACACCCACCCTTATGATGAGGCAAAAACCGATCTCTTCATCTTCAATCTCGAATCTCAACCAAGTGACAACTTTTCATTTAATTAAACAATGACAAGAACAGACATAGATTGTTTGATTTACATAAATCTTTAATGATAATATTTCTTCTTCTCGAATAAATTTCTAATCGAACTATCATTTATTTCTCGTATTGAGACGCATTTATTCACCACACACATGCATTTTCTTATTTGATTTTAATATATAACAATTTAGGATTATTTTAGAAGTTGTTTCCTCAATTTTCATTATTCGATATTCAGTGTCATTTTCAGTAGTGAGAAAACATTACCGATCTGACGGTTGAATACAGTTTTTAATATTTTTTATTTTGAAATATTTGTTACATATAAATCATCTGAATCCAATAAGAAAGAAAATGAGGGTTGAACTATAGCGAAAAGAAATTTCCGTTTATTAATTATGAAATAATAAATGTTAAGGAAATGAGAAACTTCTCTTTCATTGATTGAACAACCGAATATGTTACGATCGCAATAAAAAATAAATGTGGAAACCTCGGATTTAAATCCGAGAGTTATGTGTACTTCAAAAAGTGAATGAGACAGATGAGTCACCCTAGAATGTGTGGACATCAAAATTGTCCTGGCAAACCCTTTCTGTAAACACGTAATTCTATAGGCTATTGCTCAGCCAATACGATTTGGAGACAAATACAGCTCAGATTTGAACTCTTCACTTTGATTTACCCTAAGAAACTCGTTTTTCCTATAACTTGATTTCTATTGGTCACTGCTCAACCAATGGGATTTCGAGGCGAATGGAACATAGATTCGAGTTCTCCATTCTAGAAAACCTCGGACTATCATCTCTGTGATGGGAAGATAGAGCTCTAATTGTGGATCATATGGAGCATGGACAAAAACAGAACCGAATTCCGATTAATTATCTTTGCAATAGGCGAGCTAGCTTTCTTGTTTCTTTATGTTTTATATACCATTGTGTAGCTCGTGAAATTTTCTATCGAATGGTATATAATAGTTGGGGTTTTATTTGACTATGATAGGAAAAGTTTTTTATGAAAACAGAGAAGGGTCTATCTTCTCATAGCGAAAAATGACTATTTTTGCAATAACTCAGCAATGGTTCAGCCAATCATTCTCATCTTCGAACTCGATCGAGATATTGTTAAGACTAAACTGTGCAGAAAATTTCATCGCGATCGGACTCTCCTTTCAAAAGTTATCGTGTAAACGGCCGGACGGCCGGACATAGTGACCGATTCTAGAGTGTAGTCACTTTTTGAGTACACAAAAACTCTGAGTTTGATCAATTAAGAAACTCATAATGAGTAATTATCGATTGAACAATATATGTGATATAATCGAAGATAAGTCAATGTAATCAATCGATTTAATCAAATTCAACAACATCAAAAAAGAGATAACTTTAAGAATCCAATTTTTGGAATTTATCGTAGTTTTGGCTTTTCATTTTTGTTCGAGCTACTTTCGTTGAAACTATTGATCAACTATCGTTAACAATATTTGTTGTGTTGGATAATTAGTTGAATGTTTCCTGTCAAATTTTATCATTGGAAATAACGTGACAATTGTCTCTTATGATCATAGTTTAACTTTTTCAGATAGTATCAACAATCAATTTAATATCCAGTGAAATCGAATTGAAAATTAACTCTCTTACCAAAATCGATTATTTATCAGATGATAGAATGATATTGAAAACTAATTGAATCGATTAATCTACTTTCTTTTTAAAGATGACTAGTTATACGACTTTAAACATAAATTTACAGATTTTACTGATTTTGTCATTTTGAAGAAATCTCTGTTGGTCTCCTCACATTAAAGTATCATTTATTATTTTGTTACAGTTATATTGTTTGATTGAAATTTCCATAATTAAATAAATATGAATAAATCTTGTTTTGAAAACATTATTTATTCTTCATTTATTTTCACATGATGTACTTTGTCTCAAGATCACATGTCTCTATAATAAAACTTCATCTATAATGAAACACAAATATTCGATATTCATGCTCACTGGTATTGGATGAAAGACAACAACGCTATGATTTCTCTCTTCGAAAGGTGAATGAAAGATTGAAGAGTAATACAGGTAAGGGTCTTTGATTGGTGCTTAAGAATGGCATGAAACTATACAAACAGAATATTCTTTCATTGATGATGATCAATATTTATTTTATAATTTTATTGTGATTTGATAAGCATAAAATGTGACTAACTCTCGATTCAATTTGTGTAAAATGATTAAAAGAGTAACTTGTTAATTTTGAGAATAACAGATGAAAACATTTCTCATGGACGTGTAAAGCACTATTAAAAATAAAACGAATGAGTATAGAACTGTAATGAAGAGATTTTTTGATTTACAATTAAAATGAAAAAACCTCTTCATTCCGGTTCTATATTCTTTCGTTGCATATTTTATTCTAATTGTAGTATCACATAATTACGATTAAGAGTGTCGTCGATGAATCGATCTGATAAGTTCAAATTGATTCGTAACATTCCATTGCGACAATTGCCAGAAAATCGATCTGGTATTACTTTGGTTTGGCTTGAGAATACATCGTGTTCTTCATGCAATGACAATCAGATTCGATTGCATAATTTTAGCAATCGATGTTTTATTGTTTATTATTCAAATCTATCAAAATGTGTTAAATACTTGAAACACATTCGATCACGTGAATATGTTATTATTGTTATTATGTCATATCCAATGGAAACAATTCAACGCATCATTCATCGATTTCAACAATATCGCGTTATACAAACAATATTCGTTGTATATTCTGATGAAAATACAGCTCATCATCTGTCGTCAATAATCGATAATCTTCATATCTTTCAAACTCAAGAATCAATGTTTGAACTTTTAGAAAAACGAATTGAACAAGTTGAGAAACAAAATTTAAGTGGCGGCTTATTTACAACTTTCTACCGTACAGAAAAATCTCTGAAAGATGTTAAAAAAGATTTGGCGACATTTATTTGGACTCATGTATTTAAAGGTTTGTGTTTCGAGAGTGTTCATCCAAAAACTATTGCTGTTGTATATTTAGTTCTTTTGATGAGTATGCCTCGTGGCTCTCTGCAAGCGAAATATGAGATGTTAAGCGAATGTCGAGCTTATTATCAAAATGATGTTGTTCAATTAGCTCAAATTGATGAATTTGAACGCACATATCAATCAAAAGATGCTATTCGTTGGTATACAAAACCTGGATTCTTGTTTTATCTTGTTAATAAAGCTTTACGTAGTCAAGATATTTGGGTTATGTATAAATTTCGTTATTTTATTGTTGATTTATGCTGTTGTTTGGAAGAAATTTCCATTTCAGTCTTTTTCATCGGTTCGTCTTTATCGTGGAGCAAAGCTCAATCGAGACGAACTCGAACAACTGCAAGTTGGTTGCCTTATATCAACTAATGGATTTTTTTCATGTTCATCAGATCGTAATGTAGCAGAAATGTTTATTAGTATTGATCTCATGACTGATAGATCGTCAAGTCACAATCCAGACGCATGGCAACAGTTCGTTTTATTTATCATTGATGTCGATCGTAGAATATCTACGAATACAGTTGTAGCAGATGTCAGTTATGAAAGTGATTTACCAGATGAAAACGAAATAATTTTTAACTTCGGATCAACTTTCATTATCAATGAAATTAGTTTTGATAACGATAAGTGCATAAAGTTGATTCAAATGAGTTCATCTTCGGACAATATTCGAATAAATGATGAATACGAGAAATATATTCGTATACGTCTTCAACACACCAATCCGGCTATACTGTTCGGTCATGCTTTAGCTAATATATGCAGTGATTATGCTCAATCAATGATTTATTTCCATCGTTTACTAAGAACATTACCCATAGATGATGTCGAACGACCCAATATTTATTATAATTTAGGACGTATTTATCAATTTATTGAGAAATTCGAAAAATCTCTTGATTGTTTTCGATGTGCTCGATTACTCATTTGTCGTCTGTTACCGGAGAGAATGTTTGATTATTGTCGTATTCTAGGTGGAATGGGTTCTGTGTACTTATATTTGGGAGATTCGGAACGAGCATTAAAATTACTCAGACAAGCTTTAGCACTTCACAAGAAATCATTTCCAGAAAATCATACAGAAATTCCATTTCACCTGAATCGTCTGGGTTATGGTTATTTCAAAGCCAAACAATATGATCATGCACTTTTGATTCTCAATAGTGCTGAGAATTTTTTCCAGACAAAAATGCCTGTGGATCATCAAGGATACGCCGAGACTTTGCATTCAATGGGTTTAGTTTATCATGGTATTGGTGATAATAAAAAAGCATTGATTTGCTTTCAAGAAGCATTACGCCAACGACATACATTACTTGGTAAAGATCATCCTTATCTTGCATCTACTTATTATCAACTTAGTCTCATACATAATGATCGTGCTGAATATGAAATAGCACTTGATTATGTTCAAAAATCTCTAAATATCCAATTAATAAAATTACCACACTCCCATTCCGAACTAAAACTATCAAAAGAACTTCTTCGACGTCTTCAGCAACACCAATAAAAATCTCGAATTAGTTTTCTATCATTAAGATTATAGTTAATGTTTGTCTATGAATTGAAAGAGATTTCATCATACTTAATGATGATTCTCATTTGAATTAAATCTTATCTCTAAACAATATTATTGTCATGCTGGTATTTCTACAGTCATAATCGAGACAGAACTGATCGAAATGTTTGTTTCATCAATGTGTTCAAATAATCTATACACTATTACTGGCTGATTTAGCTCTTTAAAGATTACTCACTTGAAACGGAGAATAATTGATGAACAATAAAGTTGATTATGAATAAATGAATGCAAAAGATTATTGTTAACAAGAATACGTTAATGTGTCTGAAGGTACTCTTTAAAAATGAACATGTAAGATATCTTAAGTCAAGATTCAATTTTTTCCTCGAAGAACTCGCTCTGAAATTGAGCCAAGTAGAACTTGACGAACTCAACAAAATGAACTACCTAGTTTTCCGATTTGAACAAACCAGTTCATATCACGACTCAATACTGAGTTTAACGTACGACTTGTGTAGTTGAAATTAGAGGAAAGGACTGTTATTTAGAAGCCATATAGCAAATCTGTATAAAATTTTAAACAACTACTATTAAATCTTTACACAAAAATAGGCCCTGTTAGTTTTTGTATCTAAAAAGTTGATGATCTACTCGTATCAATTGTTTTATATGTTGTTGACTAGATCAAGTATACAACTTCGATTTTTTACACAAATAGAAAGTATTTCGCATGAAATTTCGATTGGTGAATGGCTCAATACTATGCATTGCTGCTTATTGTACCAGTAATTAAATAATAGGTAATCTAGATGGCATTCAGA